ACAAGATAAAATGGGTGCAGCTGGAGATGGGAACAGTGGTATAATAAGTAAAGGTCTTCTCAGATGGAAGAGGGAGAACTATAAAGAAGCTAGAAGCTCCTCTGAGCAAAAAAGGGGGGATCTATGAAAGTCGCTTTCATGGACAGTATTCCTTTACCAGATGCGGGTAACAAACAACAGCAACCAGATATTAGGTTTTCAGGCTTTGAAGATGCTTCTGGGAACTTGAGATGAGCAGCTCTACATCTTGTTATTGCACGACAGGAGAGACTGGCATAGCAGTGCAAAGCAACTCTTTGAGATGTCATCTTTGAACAACTATATTCTCGTAGATCTACACTTCTACTTACATTTCAAGGCATTTTAACTACCATAATACATTCTAGCCTACACTGTGCATGGTGATTGCCTGTCAGCTGCATAGGAATCTCAAATATAAAAATTCATATATCTCTGTCTGCAAACTTCAGCCTTTTGTCTTTTCTTTGGCCCATGAATAATTTTGCTCTAAAAAATGCTGAATTTTAAGTGCAGGCTTAATTTACAGAGAATATCTCAACTTTACCTTAAAAATGTATGTACCCCTAAAACAAGCTTGCAGGTCAGGTTCTTCAAGCAACTGTCAAAGGACATTCTGATCTTAGAGTACTGCCTCTTCTTGTGTTACAACGGGCCTGTAAAAGAAAAGAAAAAGGTTAGTAGGAATAATGGTAAAGTTGAGTAAGCTTGTTGGCAGTAGCAGTTTTTTTTAACTGTATGAAATTGCTTCCTTAAGCAAGCAAGACGAGACACACATAGATAGATAGCTTTAGCCACTAGGGGGACCTCCAGGAATAGAATATGCAAACAAATGTGCAACGGCTGTATTTAAAAAATAAGGTTATCTGCTTTCAAAAGGCTTGCTACTTAGCAGTAAGGTTATGCTTTGCTCTCTTACGGGAGTGCAAAGCACCATGTAGTTATGCACTTTTCAGAGCTATGATTTGGGAGCATGGCAGATATCCTGGAAGCAATAAACATAGCTTCTCAGCATAGCTCTCAACTCCTTTCAAACTTAACAGCAGCTTAATGGCCTGTTTAAGAAACGCCGGTGCTTCAGCATGCCTGCATATGCTTACTAAAAAGTAGCTACACGCCACTTCTTGGATCAGTAAATCTGTAATTAGCAATCTATCAGGGAGATAAGGGTACTCTGACATTCTCTTCTATGCTTCTGCAGAGTATATAAGAATTTGTGGTGGACTGGACATGTAGACTTTTGGGGCTCTGCAGAGCACAAGTGCAGTAAGCTTTGCTTTATCTTTCTGTGTGAAACATAAGCAGCTGTGCTCCCCAGACATTGAAAATGATGACCCGCATACAATAACTGCAATTAACCCAATTACAAAAGGTCAAGGATGGCACTAGAATTTGGCATGAAATCACAAGTGTGGAAAAGGTCAAGAGAACTTTTGCAAGACCTTGTATTATGTTACATTGCATTGTTTAGCATGTTAGAATGGTACTAGAGAAACGAAATCTTTTATTTTACAAGATTAAAGCAACCTGAAATTCAGGTTTGGCAGAATTGACTGTTGCATAGGTTTCCGGTGGCCTGTCCACTGAGTTTTATAGTTTCAATGTCATTTGCATGGAAAGGTTACTTGCTGAGATGTAGCAGTGGGGGTGGAGAGATTGCTGGGAACTTGTGCCTTATTCTTTGATGGTTTTTTTGTTTGAGACATTTGAAAGCTGCTTGGTGAATTACTGTTTGGAAAAGGTTTGTTTCTGCAATAGAAGTAGCATTACAATCCTCACATTGTATGTGTATAACCTTCCACTAAGTTATCTAGAGAACTGCCTGCAATTAATCAATCACAGCTGTGCTTAGCTGGAAGTTGGATGACTGCTGACGTCAAAAGTGGGCTGCCAAGTGGGCTCTGCTGAATAATGATTATACATCCCCTGTCATTCCATACATGTGAAATAGAACGTTATATGTTAAAGGTTAAAATGTTTGCAAGCAGGAAGTGTTCCTTGATCGGGAAGAGATTTAGTGATATCTTTCCTTGTTTCAGTTGCTAAAAGTGAAATTGCCTGAAATATTAGAACACCCTCTTATTGAACAGAGGTTCTCCCATATGGATCTATGAAATTAGGATTTTGTAGGGATTCAGAACTTCAAAAATTCAGTTAATTTAGTTGGAGCTAATTAAGCGGCGCTACTTGTTCCTGCTGGTCCTTTTTCATCCAGTAAAGAGAAGGTTTATGACCAGTCCGAGGAGGAGAGTTTTCTTGTGACGCAAGATGATGACGTAAGGATTTCTTCATTAGAGTAATGACATTAGTCACTTTGACCTCATATACCTCTGTGTATGTAGGAATGTGCATGCTGCATCCTGTAAGACATCATGTGAGTAATCAGATTCCTGCTGGTCTCACATGCTTCTGAAATTATAACATACCCCGTGTACCTTAGTGATGAAAACAAATGTTGCAGCGTTTTGTGTACATCTTTAGTTTTCTCTTTTGCAATGATTCTCAGAAGAATCCTTTTTCTATTATGAAACTTGCTGAATAATTAACCACATCATAGAATTAGGAGAATGGGTAAAGGCTGAAGCAGACTGGAGGGAGAAAAAGAATATATGAACATATGTACACAAGTGTCCAGCACTCAGAAATTGTGAGATCTCCTCAAGGTATCTCCTTTTTATTTTACCAGGCTTTGACAAGCCTTACAAGTTTTGTTTTTCCTGCCAAAGCTGTTTTTATTGAAGATTTCAAGTAGATTGAGAGCAAGAAAAAAATGATGAGTAAACATAAAAGTGATGTAGGCCAGTTAAGCATTTAAACATGTGCAATGACTGAATACATGAAGAAAAAAAAGTGGGCTGTGTGCCATCACTGTGAATATATGCTCAGATTCTTTCTTGAAACTGTTTTAGGAAAACCTGAACTCTGGTAGACAGTAACGTTCTTTCCCAGAACGGCCCTGATGTGCTTTAACAAAAACCAAAAGCAAAACAAAACTATGAAACAATGTAAATAGAGGTAATAAACTAGACATAACCATGCAGTAAGGCAGCATTCAAACAGATAGTGCTAATCAGGATTGTCAACTGTGGGACTAGATAGTCTCCAGACTCCAGGTATCTGGTGTGTGCCAGTATCTTCTGCTGCGTTACTTCTCTCTAGTGATCAGATTCCTAAACTTACTGCACTCACAGTTAAAAATAACCCAGCACCAAACAGGGAAAAAGGGAGAATTAAAAGCTGGATTAAACTTGCTGAATAGAAAATTATCTCCTGTTTTCAGTCTGTCACATTTGTTTGGAGACTGGTACAACACCAGGCTGCATAAGCACTTTCTGAAAGTGTCCTTTTTGTCAGCTAGTGTTTTTATGATATCAGTCATTAATGTGGATTTTGATGTATGGCTGACTAACTTTTTGATTTTTAGGGTTTTTTTTTTAGGTTTTCCTACTTTGCTTATTTATACCAGGAGGACGAAAGTGTGGTTTTTTTTTTTTTTTCTTTCCGAGTCCTGTTCTGTATGTAAATAGTGAATTTGCCACTGAGACCAATTCAGTATTTCAAAAGAGACAGGCTACACTGTACAAATTTTATGAAATGATTTGGGAAGAGTGTGGTCTGGGACGTGGTTTGCCCATCAGCTAAGCTGCTAACGCTTAAAGATGAACATCTGCATCTTTCTATGTAGCACTCAATTACCAGGACTGTACTGTGGTGCTTTTCAACTGATTGATGAAGATGTCACCTTCCCTAGGCATTCTTACCCAGTGCTTTTCAATGGTGCCTGCTCTTTGTGTTGAATCAGAGAAAGCCTGTGCTGCACTGATTAATGGCTGCTTGCATTGCAGGTAGAGCTATGACACACTAACTGTGGATCTTCCTTTTTAAGGAAGCTGGAATAAATTCACTTGAAGGAAAATGTGAACTTATTAACCGTACAGCAAGGTGACCACAAGGCACAAGTGGAGAAGGATAAAACCATTATTGTGCTTGATTGTGCTTTGATCTTAACACCTAGGTTTTGGGGGCATCCTGCAGTTTCAGATTATTTTTGCCATTTGGATCTGGAGCTTCTACTGGCGTGCTATCAAAGTTGTTTGATAAGTAATGCCTTTCATCAGGAAACATCTGCTGTTTGCACGTGGAAGTATGAATGTACTTGAGAGACTTTACTTCAATTTAAAGCCTAAAGTATTGATCACAATCAATTTAAATGATGAGAAATAAGGTTGCTAAGGTGTCCAAAGAAAGGTATGTGTAAGTACACTGAAAATTGTTCTTAATTAAAATTTCTCGAATGAATGAAAGCTTATGGCTGAGCTGTGGTTTTCCCAAGTTCTCAGAAATGAAGTAAACATGGATTTAAACTGAGACAGGGGAGGTTTAGCTTAGGTATTAGGAGGAAGTTCTTCAAATAGAGGTGGTGAGGCACTGGAACAGGTTGCCCAAGGAGGCTGTGGATGCCCCATCCCTGGAGGCATTCAAGGCCAGGCTGGATGTGGCTCTGGGCAGCCTGGTCTGGTGGTTGGTGACCCTGCACATAGCAGGGGGGTTGAAACTCAATGATCATTGTGGTCCTTTTCAACCCAGGCCATTCTATGATTCTACGGTGATTCTATGATCATAAGGTTGATGTTCACTTGCTCAGCTTTCAAGCTTTCCTTTGTGTCAGAGGTCTAGATATTTGTGTTTTGCAGCTCTTGACATGAGTGTTTTTAAGAAATGCATGCCTCTGTGAGCAGACTTTTTAAATTATCATAGAAAATATTTCAAAATATGTTCTTATACAGTCATTGCTATATGGAATTACTTAACCTAGGGCTCCATTCTCAGTTCAGTACTGAGTTGTATTTGACCTGCATCATCAGCTGTGCTTTGTAAAACAATCTACTAACTGCTTAATAACTGGGAGAAACAGAATGCAACTCCCCTACTCTACCTGGGCACAAAAAAAACAAAACCAAACCATCCCCCAAAGTAATGCAATGGTCAGCAAGATGATTTCCATGTCGCTGGAGAACCTGGTGGAAACTGTAATTACAACCAAGTGTTGAAGGCTTTTAGAATACAGAGAACACTCAGATGCTTATTGTTTGAGTTTTAGCTTTCACAGAGAAGTTATCACATAAAAGATCAAGGTGTCTCTTTATTCCTAGCTGCATTATCCCTGCCACGTAAACATACAGCTGTGATTTTACAATATTCTTTTACACAGTGTGATGGCAGGCACACAGGGAAAAGAGAACACGCAATGAGTATAACTAACCATGCATGGGTAACATAGGACATAAATTTAGTAGAATATAACAAATAACAGCTATGGGGTGGTACAAATGATACTGTAGCCCACTGGTATGTTTTCAGAAATGCCTCACTAGTCAGATTCTCATTTAGTTGTTAGAACTGGGAACTCTGTCATCAGTACACTGGTGAACCATCATACGTCAGTGACTCATGAGGTCTCATTCCTATGAGCAAAATTATCATAGAATCACAGAATGGTCTGAGTTGGAAGAGACTTTTAAGATCACCTACTTCCAATCCTTCTGTTTAAAACAGTACTTGCAAACTGTGATATAATGAATATCATGATTTGCTATTCATCTTGCTAGAGTTTTATAAATACAGTAGACTATGTTATTATTGTTTTAAGACATACTTCAGTGTAGCAGTTCCACCTTAATATTTAAGACTCATATCCTCCTTAACCAGCATACTTTCCTAGTCCCTTCACTATCAAAGCCTTTGCTATCTTGCTATTTTAGCACTCGTCTACTGCCTCTTCCCATTCTTAGCTCTTCCATGCATACTGCATACTTTCTGGATATTTTTTTTTCTCCCATCCTTCCACTTAAGTAATTCTGTCATTTCATATACTGAACATGATGAATATCAAGACATGGATACTCACTGAGGGAGAAGAACAAGAAATGCCTTTACCGTGTTAAGGAATTAATCTTATAAAAATATTGCAAATGATAATACAGCTTTGTTAACTTAATATGTAAAAAACTAATTATTCCCTAAAACCTTACCACAAATTAGCCATCTATTTGACACTTGTATTTAAGCATGCAATTGATTTCAGGAATGCCAGACAGACATTTTATCACTCAATAAAATGAACTAGCTAGGAATCATCTAACACCTGCTTTCAATGTACATAGATCAACGTCACCATCCATCAATAACATGTTGAAAAAAGCTGGGTGGTATGGATTCCCTGACACTGGGGAAAAGATGTTTAACTATTGCCTACATACTCGTTTTAAAAAGTTTCATTTTGGACCTTCCTTGTATTTCCGATGATAATTTGGTAAATTAAATCAACTCTAGAGGTCCAAACTAAAACATTATAAAAGTATTTAGAAAAAGAAAATAGTGGGCAATGGGCATTTTCATGTTTTGTGGTTAGAAAATTATTGAAGTAAACCTTTGTTTGGAAGTTTCTCATAGAACAGAAGTTATCTTCAATTTTATTGATAATTTTCTTTCCTTAGCTATTTAAGTACACAGTGCTTCTCTCCACTTCCTTTTAAAAGAAAATGGTATGTTACAAAAAACCATAATTTTTTCTTATCTTCAGATCAATTGGATTTTCTCTTCTCTTGTGAGTCAACAGATAAATAACAATATCATGCCATGATATTTTGAAAGCAGTTTTCGAAGAACAGCAGAATCTACTTAAACACAGCCTCTTGTTTCGCCAAACTCTGTGAACTGTTTTTGTTCCTAGCTGTGGGATAAAGGTCTTGGATAATCCAGACAAAATATCAGTCTTTAAAGTGGAATGCTTACATAAAGAAATGCATTTGTTAACTTTAATATCAAGACTTTTATCAGGCTAGTCCTCAAACAGTGAGCCTTCAAGGGTAGCAATGACGTTTTCTTCCATTACTCTTTTTTTTCCCTTTTTTCAGGCTTACTGCCAGCAACAGTAATTGGTTTGTGACTGTCTTCTAATATCTTCTAAGCAAATGACTAAACAACCTGACTTGAAGATTCACATGTTTCTTTTGAGTGCCAAATATATTGCAACCCATGCTGAGCAAACTCACAGTGTGCATCACAGCACATGGGTTTCCTCTGTGGTTGGTACAGACAGGGTGTCTTTACCAAGAAGTAGAGCTTTTTCTGAACTACTGATGTGATCTTTGATTTGTTCCTGAGCGAAAGTTCAAATGTTTCTTCTAGATGGATGCCAGACTGTAGAAATGGACAAAAATGTGTGCAAGAAATGGAAAGTCCTTATTCAAGGGCACCTGTTGGGCTGGGCTCGGCTCCCTAAATCCCATGGCCAAGGTTCAAGGATAGGACTCATTCCTGACCTTGGAGGTTCATTCTCCTGCTCAGGCATAATAGACACTAAAAAGCAGTGCATCACTGAATGTGGGAAAGGCAGTCACAGGCTATAAGTGAGTAGATTTTCCCTACGTGATTTCTATGTAGAACTTCCTTTCTAAAATGCTTGATGCATACCTGACTTTACAATTTCCCAGGCCAGAGAAAGCCTGGTCAGCTGTAACTTGGCTCTGTTTTGACCAGATGCAGGAAAAGTTTCCTCTGTCATGCTGTTTTTATTCTTACTTTGTTTTGATGGAGGGAGAAAACTTTTTATTGGTTTAAAGACAAATTTTGCAAATTCTGCTAGCATTTGTTTTTGAATTCCTGACAAGGGGTTCAGATTCTTCACGTCTAAAGTGCTCTAAATGAGCACTTTACCAGAGCCTACAGTCTCACTTTATTTACACTAGCCAAGGAACTTGCCCAGTTCAACTACCATACGTGCAGCTTGACATTTGAATGGAACTGCAATTAGCAGGGTTATTTGTGTTTAACTTTATTTAGCACCTTATCTTCCTGCAACATTCTTGTCCCCGTACCAGCATCAACCATGAACTCAACACAGCTCTTACTAGTTCTATTCTGGGTTAGAAAAAATCCCCAACAAATCCAAAAGAGAAACCAAACCAAACAAACAAACCAAAACAAAAACCAGCAGTGCTCCAGATGAAAAGAGGAAGAAGCTCTGGGGAAAAAAATTAACTAAATGTCTTTGCAAAGGCTTTTATTAACATGATAAATTCACTCACAATGGCAGTTAAGCGACTCATAACTCACTCTGATACACAGGAAAGTTACTGAAAACTTCAAAATAGCCTGGTATTTATTACCAAGCATGTGTACCCTTCCACAAAAGTGCTGGTGAGGGACCGAGCTGGCAGGCAATGCTAATCCCATGGAGCTATGCTTATTGTTTTAAGCCTGCCTAATTACTCAGCTATTTGCTCCCTCTTACTGTAGTATCTAAGACTGCAAGCCTGATGGCCAAACCCTTATTCACAGAATTGTTTGAGCTGAAAGGAACCCTTAAAAGCCGTCTAGTCCAAGTCCCCTGCAGTAAACAGGGACACTAGATCAGGTGCTCAGAGCTCCGTCTAGCCTCACCTTGAATGTCAAAGAGTGTGGTGAGGTACTGGAACAGGCTGCCCAGAGAGGTTGTGGATGCCCCATCCCTGGAGGTGTTCAAGGCCAGATTAGATGGGGCCCTGGGCAGCCTGGTCTAGCATTAGGTGGGAAGGTTGGTGGCCCTGCATGTGGTAGGGGGGTTGGAGATTCATGATCCTTGAAGTCACTTCCAACCCTGGCAATTCTGTGATTCTGTCTCCAGGGATGGGGCATCCACCACCTCTCAGGGCAACCTGTGCCAGGGTCAAACATATAAACCTATATAGAGTCTGGTTTTTTTACTCCTATTAAAAGAAACCCCCTGGCAGAACCCAGGCTGGTTTAGAGCCCTCCTCCCCACTGCTTAAGATCTGCTCAAAGCAGCCGGCCCTGAAGGGCTGTGGCATTTCAAATTCGAAGGCGATGGCTCATCCCATCGTGCCACTGACAGACCTCCAAAACCTTTTCTGGAGCACTTCGTCCCCACGGGTGCCAGCAGGACCAGGAAGACGGGAAAAGCGGCTGGGTGGGGGGTGCTGGTAGCTGCACCCTGATTGTCTATGGAAGAGGATGTCCACGGAAGAGGTGCCGCGCGCTGCTGGCTGCAGGTGTGCGCACAGGTGTGGGGAGCAGCGCCTCCGGGCGGGCGGCCCCAGGGCTGCGGGCAGGGCACGGCCAGGCTCCGATCCGCCCCGTCTCGGCTTCCCCCTCACCTTTCCTGGCCGGGAGCCGCCCCCGAGGGGCCGGGCCAGCAGCGGCGGGAGGACACCCGGCTCTAGCCGGAGGCTCCGTGCGGCAGCGACGCCTCAGCCCCGACGCCGCCGCCTCAGCCATGTCCTCCAGCTCTCCTCCGGGCGAACATAAGAGCCGGAGCCTGGGCCGGCTTTCCCTGCCTAGGAAGGGCAGTATGACGCCCGGCAAGAAGCCCTCCTCGCTGGAGCTGGCCGAGAGCGTCCCGAACGCCCACTACACCCCGCTCCCCGAAGGGCAGGGAGGGCAGCCGCCGGCAGGCAGCGGTCCCGGAGCGACGCGGGAGCGGCCGCCGCACGTGAAGAGCGAGGTGGTGGTGGTGGGCGCGGAAAGTTCGCGGCCACCGGTCAGCCTGGACCCCCGCGTCTCCATCTATAGCCTCCGCAAACCGCTGCTGAGCCGCAGCAACATCCAGGGTCGGGTGTACAACTTCTTGGAGCGGCCGACGGGTTGGAAGTGCTTCGTGTACCACTTCACCGTGTGAGTAACCGCCCCCCTCCCGACCCACCCGCGCCTCGAACCCAGGGCTGTCCCTGAGGGAGCGGCGTCCCCTCCCGGCTGCTGCCCGGCTCAGCGCAGTCCCGTCGCGTGTTACGCTACGGTACTCCTGCAAGGAGTGCAGCGCGGGTGAGCGGAGGGGACGCTCCTCTCTTTAGGCTCTTAAAATTAATTTCGATCGCTTTTTCTCTTTTGGACCGACTCCTCGTCCTCTCTGGTTCGAGTGCCATCGCTGCTATTTTTGGACAGGAAGGAGGATGATTCTGGGAGGATGTTAGAGCTGCGAGCGAGTTAGAAACGTTGAGTGTAACCACCAGAGGTCTGTGCCCACCCTCAGCCGTCGCCTGTCGGTTGCTGGAAGGATGTCTGCAAGTGAATCCTTGAGAGATCAGTGCTTTATAATCGTGAGAGGTTTGCTGGCCCTCGAGAGGTTTGCAAGTCTTGAAAGTAGGGAACAAGGTCAGGCTGAGCCGGGAGACCTGTTCGTGTCTCTGTATTGATGGGCTGATGGCTGGATTAGATGGTCTTGATAGTCTTTTCCAACCTTAACGATGGCTCTGATTGTGTACATACGTACGCCTATATACACTACATACATATGTGCTTATTTCAAGAACTAGAGGTGAAAGCGCTTTATGGGTCAAGCCTGAAGATAAAGACTTCTGTTGAAATTTAATTACAGTGATCTTATAGTATTTGGATCTGAAATTCCACAGTAACTTTTATTTCTAAGCAAATTGAGGCTCAATTCCACATTTTGGGACTCTGGAGTGAGGTAAATGGTACCAACTTTGTTTTAGTGGAGAGGAAACAGCTGTAATCAGAGCGTATTTCAGTGGGAGTTGGCCGTATACAGCTGCTAAGATAATTGTGGGTCCTGCTCTGTTTCAGATGATCATAGTGCCATTAGATGACAAAACAACTAACGGCTGTAATTATGAAGTGTCAAATTGTGAACACTATACAACGCTTTGAGGAACAGGAAAATCTCTAAAAGGAGACTGAAGCAGCCTTCTTTCATAGTATTGATGCTTTTGTGGTGTGTGAAAAGATCAGGCAGTAAACCATGTTGAGTATCTCACCTAATTTTCAAATCTTAATGGTGATCTTAGGAAAAAATCCTGGAGAAGTCTATTAGATCAATTTATTTCCATAGAAATATGGCCTGAATTGTAACTGTTCTCAAAAATATTAACAGTACAGATTAATCCTGTCTGTGCCAGGATATTAAGGTATGTACAGCAAGCCCATTGCCCATCTCTCCTTCAGTATGCTCCTATTCGTGCTATGAGCATTACCCCTGTGCTTCCCTCTTTCCAGTAGTGCTGTTTTTGATGCAGTGGTGAATGACAGCAATAGCAAATATTCTCAAGCTTTTTAACTAAGCATTATGCAAGTTCCTTGTCTTAGGGCTTTAAAGGGACAGGGTGTATCCCTGTCCTGATGTGTTTCTTGCAAGGCAAAGCAAGAATCTGTTAGTGTAGTCTGTGTTTTCAGGCAGTTCCACTCAGATCTCCCCCAGTAGAGGAAATTGAGTTTGTACCAGCCTGAACCATCGCAACATCTTCTAATTTCTGTGGCAGATAAGCCTGTACATTCTGTACCTGTGATAATAATGTTTGAGGTTTCTGGTCTTTGGTCCATACCCCTCCAATTCTCTCTTGCTTTCTGCTGCTCTCTTTGAGTACTGCCGCTGCTAGCAAGATGTTGAGTATTGGTTGCTTAATTCCTGCAGTGCATAAGCTTGGGATTAAAATTAATGGGAAAGGCAGACGGTTGATCTGATTTGGGGAAGCTGTGTTCTGGAGGAGATGTGGAACCTGATTTCTGCATTGGTTTGTTAGAATTTTGCGTGCAAAATCCCTTGACAAATCCAGCTCAAGATACTGATGTCACTTAACCTAGACCCTCTTTGTCATTCCCTCTGCTGGCTGCCTCCTGCTTTAGTCTGGGGAATTTCAATTGCATGAGAGGTCTCAGTTTCTCTTAAAGGTTCAGGGGATAAGAAAGCAGAACCGGACCAGTGTTATAGAGTAATGTTAAACTAGTGAATAAAGGCCAAAACTTGGTAGATTTCTGGCCAAGATGTTGCCTGAAGATAGGAGTACAGTGGTCTGTATTTTCTCTCTATTGCACTCATCTACACCATGTAGAGTATGTAGCTATGTTCTTGGTTATAGTCTGAAAGGGTAGACTTAAAAACTCTATAGAATAGTCAAAGGAACAACTTCTGGACCTGTGCCTCTGGCTGTTTAAAGCCTGTTTATTAAGCAAGAAAAGCTACATCTCCTGACTGTCACACAGACTGACAATACCTGAAAACCTCTTTTCCAAGAGGCAAAATGCATGTTCTTTCTCTCTCGGTGATGTTTTTAATTTTCCAGGATAATTAGACATCAAAATCACTGATTAAATCCAATGAGCTCTGCAAAAGTCTCTTCTGAGTTGTTCTATTTACTCCTGAGCGAGCAGAATAATAAATGGATTATTGTACCTAATTTATACTCGATTTCTATATGCTGTAGAAATAGTTTCTATGGGAAGAAGGAATGGAGAAAGGGCTATTAATTTGCCACTCTAAATAGCCTGACTGAAATACTAGCAGAAATGATACATCAGCAATGTTGCATTGAATTCCATTTAAATACACAAAGTGTGTAGTATATGTACGCTCAATTCTACCTGTGCAAATAAAGAGCTGGAAATTTACATGCATAGTTTCTGCAAACACAACTGATGGTTGCTTAGAAACTTGGATTTTGTACATCAGAGTCAGGGCTTGCCCTGTGGCATGGTTATATGTAAATGTCCTTCTGGAACCACCAAACCTATGGCTGTCACAGGTGAGGGAATGAGTGGGTGCCACTGTTCTCATTGACCTTTGGAGCTAGGGCATCTTATCACGCTTATCTTAGCTGTGTGCCTTGAGATACTGGCTTTGAGAGGTGAAATGTCCTACAGTATTAGCCAATCATGTTTTGAGGCTGTATGAAGAAGTGGTGGGGTAAAAGAATCTGAATTTCTGTCTTTATAGTGACTCGTTGAAATCCTGAGGCTCTGTTTCTGTGTTGGAAATGATTGTAAAGAACGAGTCCTAGATTTCCAAGAGGGGTGGGTTTCTTTTCACCTTCTGTAAATAGTTTTTAATCACATGTCTTAATGTGTTTGAAGAAACTTAAGTTATGAGCTTTCTGGTGTTTTCTTTAGTCTTCTGTATGGCAAATGACTTCTGGCAACATGTACAGTGTGTCGACTTCCTGTGCTCTTTGAAGTGTTGGCCATTATCAGTGAAAAAAACTCACGAGTAGATGGATCATTGGTCTGCTCATGTATTGCAACCCTCTTATGTTGCCATGCAAGATAAGTCCTCTATCTTATCTTTGCATTGATTTATGTACCCAGTTCAATTTACTTTGCCTTTGTATATGTTCGGTTTAATCAGCCATGATTGTGATTGAATTTTCTTTGAATCCTGTGGTGTTTACATAAGCTTGGGCTGGCTGGTGGCTGGGATTTAGGAGACCTGTCTGTAAAGGCAGATGGCAACTCAGAAGTGTGAATGCAGAGATGAGGAAAACAGGCACCTATGTGGGCTGCTCCAAAAGTAATGCCTCCTATTTTATTATGTGGGCCCATGACATCAGAGGCAGATGGATGTTGGTGGTATGGCAGTAGAGGTTGAACCTTCCCATCAACATTCCTAGATCTTGTTGATGTGTGACAGATGGGAACAGAGAGGCAGTCTGGCAAAGTAGTGTCCAACATGGAAGTGTGGATGAAACAAAATGGTGTCATTGAATTTCTCCACGTGGAAAAAATTGTACTCATTGATATACATTGACACTTGCTGAGCATTGGTGAAACACACAGCTCATGGTGGTGACTATTTGGAAAATAGGGTTTTGTAGATCTTCAAGATGTACTGCTCATGAAGTGCATCTGGACAAAATGAAGTGGAAACAAGGTGATAAATGTAGCTTCCTCCTGCCTTATCACAAAATCAAGTGATTTGTTCACAGCAAAGCAGGCATCTTTTTGCAACCTACTGCTGTGCATTTATCAGTATGTCTGGTAACATTTTTGTGTGAAATAAAAGGGATCAGAAAGAAATCTTTCCCTATTCCCAGAGAGAGATGAGCTTTTGCCTGGTCCATTACCAAAGCTGGCTGAATGCGTAAGACAGCACGCTAATGGTTAGGAGTTGCCGTTGCAGGATTTGCTCTGTTGCCAATCATTCAGATACTGATGTTTTTGAGTCTTGGTCAGATTTCTGATACAGGGCTGTGAACTCAGTTTCTTCACTCCGTGATACTGGAGAAGTAATTGTCCAGAAGAAGTGTGTAATTAACACCGGAGTTTGACTTGGTATCCTATCAAAAGTGTCCAGTTATGTACAGCACGTATTTTCAAGGAAGATGAAAAGTTTCAGTCAATAGTATTTTAAATCTTATTAGATGAACAGAGCATGATAATTTCATGCTGGGTGAACAAAGTGACAGCTATAACAATAATTATTTTTGTTCAGCACAGCTATCGTGCGGAAGGACATGACACGATGCAGCTCTTTTGCTACAATTTTGCATGAAGATGCTTCTTTGGACTTGTGTGACAGTGATAGTATTTGTGTTGGCCAGCATACAGCTTTTCTCTCTTCCGTTGTTCTGTATTTCCCAACCTATGACTTGACAGAAGCTTGGAGCTTGGAACTGTGTGAGGGCAGGGGAACTCTGTGGGGACAAAATAGCCTTTGCTATTTTACTGATGATGTTCAAGCTTTTGAGTAGCTGATGTGAGCAGAAAGCTGTAAACTTCAGAATGCTAATGCTCAGTGAAGACCAAGTTGTGTGTGATGGATGAACAACTCTGTGGAATTTGTGCGAAAGGTGATAAATGTTATCAATTGGGGCAGGCTTTCCTGCAGGTAGGCTTTCTCCTTTCTTTTCCAATCATCCTTTCAATTTAACATTCCGAGTTCTTCTCTT